TAGATTCAACAACAACAATAAATGATACATAATATCATAAATTACAAAATTAAGTAAATATTTCTAGACTTTTCAGCTGCCTATATTACATCAAGAACTTAAACAACTAAATATCAATAAAACAAACGAAAATTACAGAAAATCCATAAATAATCATAAATTGGTTATAAAAAAAAAAAAAGAAAAAAAATAATAATAATAAAAAGGTCGAGAGGGGGATATAAAAACCTCATACTCCTCGTGAGTACGCTCCTGCACATCTCGCCCTTTCGCATTTAATAGTAATATACTTGTAATAGGTACTTCGAACAACACCGTCGGGTCGTGAAATATTCAAATTCGCTATAATTTAAAAATTTTAATACTAAACGTGCACGTGTAGTTCACGGTACCTACTTCAACTGTAACTGCAGTAATAATAATAATCACGATCGATATTATATTATTATATTTTAGATGCATTTGAAAGTCGGAAAAATAAAATATGTTCAGGAATAACCGTGATGATGGCCACGTCGCATTAACAGAAATTCTATTTATTTATTTTATTTCGTGCTCAATCGAGTTTGTGTTTCTTGCGCTCAATAGACTAGTCAAAAAAAGGTGTTCAATCGAGTTCCAACGCTCTCGTAACACCCAGTGGCGTGTGCGGGGGAAGGAAGGAGATTAGGGGTTGTATCCTCCCTCCTATCTGTTGGCTGAAATATACAAAAACTATGAGTAGTTTATTGTAACAGACGACAGTATTATAGATATAGTAATTATGGAGTGTTTTTTTTTTTTCTAGGAATTTTTTAATGAAATTATTATACATGTATTTAAATGCTTTATCGACACAATATATATATATATGTGTGTGTGTGTGTGTGTGTGTGTGTGTGTGTGTGTGTGTGTGTCGTATTATAGTAAAATAATTAAATAGGCTTTCTATATATTCTTCGATAATATTTGTTTAATGTTGTACCGATTTTCCCGGTTCTACACATTGGAAAAACTCTGGGAAAACTCCCGAGAAAATCGAAAAATGACCCCTCTAAAGTAGAGCTTCTTCGCTCCGCCCGGAATCCGAAACGATTCATTCAGAGTGTACGAAACCCGTCGCCGATCTCCTCGAGTCCACCCGCCGTTCTACTTCCCCGTGTCTATTTGTGGGCCCTCCGACACCCCGTCGCCCCGCGAGTCATCAGGCTCGCAAAACTGACTGCATAGTACACCGCAGGCGCCGCCACTGTGCGTATGCGCATCGTAATGCGTCGGGCACACTAACGTTACGGCATTAGGACATTGTGACGAGTCGACGGGCTGTTTGCGGGACGTTCTCGGCGTGTGCAGGCCCAAAGGTAGGGACGCGTCTGCGAAATGTCAAAATGCGATATCCGTGTGTGCATGCGTATTATACGACTGTACATTGATACAGGTACACTATTTTACACAAGGTCAAAAATCTAATGTCAAACGTACACGGTACGTACGCAGACGGTTTCCACCCACATTACCGACGTACCTCGTATAAGTGTATTACAATAATATGCGAGTATTGTGAGTAGGTATATACATTATTATTACTGCGTACGATTTATTTTATTTATTATATTTATTTCGAATCCGATATACCTACCCCTCCGGTTTTAAAAAGGTATCCCTAACTACGTTATACGCCGTATATGATACGCGTATTACGATATGTATATCGGAAAGAAAAAAAAAAAAAAAAAGATTATGTTATCCTTTTGAGTAGTATACGCCCAGGAAGAGTTGTAAAGATCGCATACCTACATATACAATATAATAATATACATACGTAAAGAATATAAACCTTGCAGGAAGGTTATAATTTTTATATTTTTTTTTTTTTTTCGACGTTTTTACACGGGTTGGATGTATACCTAACCTACCTGCGCGTATATCATAACCTACCACGGCTGTGGTATAATAATAATATTACGTACCTGCTTGTATATACAGTTGGCACGCAGTTAACCGGACTTGATTGATAATTTTTTTTTTTTTTTTTTCTTCTGCGTTAGAAAGACACGTTTAATTTCCATTTAAACATTATAATGCGATATTGTTACGATATTATAATATACTGCGACGCTATGATATTATTATTGTATCGATTCGAATGCCCGAGAAGTAAATATACGTTTGTACGTTATATACATTATAGTATGCAGGTATAGCCCGGAGGTGATATCGCTGCAGTCGTAACAGACGTAAATAAAAAAAAAAAAAAATTAAAAAATATTTACCGCACGATCACATTCGGCCGTCGACGGTAAAAAGGTAAACGGAAATTCAAAACGAATCTGTAAAACTTTTTGTCTGTAATATAATATTATGTGTACGATACAGTTGCGTTCTCAGGAATTTTCAGTTGAGGGACGGGAGGGGGGGTTGTGGGTAATTTCTAGAAAAATGTGTAAGGAGCTATCAGCGTACATCACTCTAGTTATGACATTGAATATTATTTTTAATAATATCATAATATAAATAAAATAACAATACAAAAGTTTTGGTGCGACAAATATATTTATATCGCAATTGTAAATATAAACTACACGGTGCAACATTGAACTTTCACATCCATTACAAATTTAAAACGAATTGATTGCAAACGAAAAAACTAGCCAATGGATGAATTTAAACCCTCATAACCCCTCCCCATCCTCATCCCCGTGTGTACGCCCATGATGCGACGACTGTTGTCATTTTTCGACAAGCAATCCCTTGTGTGAGCGTGAAGACTGTACACTTTAACTGACAATAAATTGACAAATAAAACCGACGAGTTTACCTCTACGTACCTACGTATATCAGTGGCGTATTTAGAGAGAAGATTTGAGAGATAAAATATCTCCCCCTTTACCATTTTTCAGTACCTATCTAATATTTTATAGATTCAAATTTATTTAAATTTTACACAGCGAGAAAAATCAAAAATTTGTTATTGCAGATGCCCATTCATACTACCGTTGTTATTGTGCCGGAAAAAACCTGAACATAAATTGTCTTGCTTAAAACAATACCTATCCGAGCCACTATATTATAATACGAAATAGATTAGATTCGCGCCTAAGTAATAAGTAGACTTATTTATAATAGGAGTGCATTCAGCGTCGAACAAATAATTTCGAATTGTTTTTATGTAGTAATTTCGAAACACCTACTCCCCCTCTTGCCTACGCCCCCGGTAGACGGTTACTTTTTATATTTCCCAAAATCTATATTTTTCAGGAGAGCCACTGCTGGTATAGCGTTCAATATTCACATTAACGTTCGGCTATTAATCTATTTCAGTATAGGGTGTAAATCGAGTAGTTTTGAAATTAAATGCTGAAAATACATACACTAGTACATAAAATATATACTTTAAATAAAAAATAAACTGATACACTACAAAAATGTATTTATTTTATTTATAAAAAAGAGGGGGGGGGGATATTAAATTGGACAAAACTAAAAAAAAATTAAAACACAGCCGAGGACTTGAAAAACCTGGCTCAGCCGGTGGCGTGTCCAAGAATTTCTAACGCAATGAGGAGATGGAGTCAATAATAATCTTGATTTTTAATTCGTGAATAAACCGTATAGAATCTTTACGTCTAACTCAACAGTAACAATTTAAGAGCCGAATACGAAAGACAATATTTATTCGTTAAATCAAACTTTTCTCCTTGAGTATTGTTACATAATTTCAAAATAAAACGGCAAAACAAAAACGTATGGTTTTGGTATTATTAAGAGGATGGGAAAGGAAGGGATATAACCCTTTAGTCTCCCACTGCGCACGCCAGCTGGGCTCAGGCCGAGAGCGGAAAAGAGCACGAGATTCGGAATCCGTACACACAAAAGAAATACGAAATCGCAATGAACATGAATAGAAGCAGCCAGGTAAGGTGACTACAGACCATGCACGAGCGAACGTTTTTGTATGATCAGGTAACTTATGGCGATCGTTTAAAGTAAACACGATAACTTATCGCCGTCGTTGGTTTATTGTATTCGAAATGAACAGGGTCCGCGCGCGTTTATCGATTCACATTGAACAACAATCGGAATCACTTTTGTTTGGTTTTTTATTCGTCTATTCATTTTTTGACCAGCACGTGCCATTATAAAAGAAAAAGAAAAAAAAAAAAAAACAATGACTATTCAAGAGGCCCAGGGCCCGGAGGCAGGTACCCCGGACACGCGCGCGGAATACGCCTAATCCGATTTCGCGACGGCAGCGGCGGGCCCGCGGCACGAAAACTTTGCGCGGCCCCACGTCGCGGGTCCACGACCGTTGGCCGTCGTCGTCGTCACGTTGGCAGTTTTGTCGAAATTCCGGTAGCCTGCCGGTCGACGGTCGACGGTCGACTATACAACAACCGCACGGTCGTGTTGGCCGGCGGCGGCGGCCAGCAACAAGTCGACAACGATCGTGGTCCCGGTATGCCGTGCTTGTAACCTCACGCGGTCGGCGGCCGTGTCTGCGCCGTCGGTTCGCGGGCCGGGGGTTGGCAACACTGCGGCACTCGCGCCGCCGGTGACACGGTTATTTCGCGGCGGCGGCGGTAAATGGTATATTCCCGACGAGCGCACCGCGTATCGTACCTACGTATACCTACGCGATATTATTATTATTATTATTATTATTATTATTATTATTATAATGCGTACCTATAGAACATGTTCTCCGTGTGTATAGGTACACGTTCGCTCGTAAACCTAGTCCGGTCCCCACCACCGACCCCGCCGTTACCGCAACCGCAGACTCGTACCGCCGCCGCTACACACACACACACACACACACACACGCACACACACACGCGTACACACGCGCACACACACACACACGTACACACACGTACACACACACACATACCCGCGCGCGAGTTGTACCGCGCCGCCCGGCCCCGCCCGCCCACGATAGCCTTCAATTATTCCCATAAGCTACGGCGGCGGTACTACGGCCCGGAGCACCGACAGCGCGCCGCGGACACCACCAGTCTTCCAGTGAACGTCGGCCGTCGACGTCTCTACTGTACTGCACGCACGTCCGGTCCACGTTATTACGCGCGAACGGAACGGTGGTTTTTTTTTTTTATTAATTTTTTTAAATTTTTTTTTTTTTAATAAACCTTTCCTTTTTATATTGTTATCATTGATATCGCCGGAGAATCGTATTGTTAACGTTTTTCTCCGTCCACGTAACCCTATCGAGAGATAACGATAGTCGACCGCCGCCGCCGCCGCTCACTCGGTAAGTGATAGCGTAACGATAGCGCCGTCGCGAAAATGAATCGCGCCCGTCGTCGTTTGAAATCGTTTAAAAGTTAACTATAAATCGTCCACCGACGACGCTGGCGTCCGTGCATGTGCCTGACATCGTACGGGGTTACGTTTAATTGCGACGGCAGCGCGCACCGAGGTGCGTGCGCCGTTCGACGAACCGCCGCCGTCGCTGCCGCTTTCCATTCAGGAGGCGGAGGAGGTCGACGACGACGACGGACGAAAAGCACCGCAGACATGCCGCCGCCGCCGCCGGCGTTGACGCCGCTGACGCCGACGACGACGACGATGACGGCGATGATGACGGGCGACACGGTGAAGACGACGTCGACGACGCTGAAGACGCAGACGACGACGCAGCAACAACAGCAGCAGCAGCAGCACCACCACCAGACGATATTAATGATGTCCACGGATTCGTGACGACGCCGTCGTGCCCGGGGTGAGTGGGTTTTTCCGTATCTATAGCGTGTAGGCAGACAGAGACGCGCACTTTCGGCGGCCGGTGAGAGGCGGACGCCCGCCCCGCCGTCGGACAGGTAGACCCGTTCGGGTACGCGCATTCTTGAACGTCCGGACGCGACGGCAATGGCGCAGACAGGTATTTCGGCGTAAGACCAGAAGCCGTACAATATGGCCACGGCAACAAAGACCGTTGTGCGCCGTGTGCCGCCGCCGCCGCCGCGAACTTTAACCGCGTACCTCGCCGAGCCCGTCGCCGTCGCGCGCGCCCCGACAGTTTCGCGTCGCCGCCGTCCGGCCCCGCTAATCGCCCGCGATCCGCGACGTCGATTGTTTCGTTTCCGTCCGTTCAATGACGACCGTTAACGTCCACCCACCGAATCGTAAAAACATTCGCGTTGTTAGCCGGTGTTATTGTCCGCCGTCGGCACTTTCGGGCGGAAACATTATTTATTTGTTTTTGTTTTTTCTCATCCGTTTTGGCAGTAAAACTTTGCACTGAGCATTGCCAATTAAAACTTTAATTTCAGACGTTCGAAACGACGCGCGTTTTCAGTTGGGCAGATTTTAGTTTCGGTTAACGCCGCGCAATAATATTACAGACGCTCATCATTTATTGCCGCCCGTGTACGTACCCGCCCGTGCGCCATAATATTATTGATGTTGACAATTTTTAATTAAAAAAATCATTCGTGTCGACCGTGTGAAACGCACAAATGAAAAATAAAACATTCTAAATTTCCCGAACAAAACGTTCCGTTTCGCGTCCGCCCGACAATGCTGTCATTCCCCAGACGATAATTGGCCCAATGGTGGGTACCCAATTGGTTTTTACGCGCCTAGTGGGGCACGCCTACAGTTTCAGTGTCCGAGTAGTGTACTCGGACGGGCGACCAGTGGCGTAACTCCCGAGCTTCTGAGGCGGCCGTGGCAACGTGTAATGTGTTGAACAAAAACGGAAAGGCCACCGCTCGGGCCCTGGTCCGGGCCACTGCTAGGGACCTCATCGATTAATAAGTGGACCCGTGGCGTTTGCCCGCCCGGTATTTTTACACCACCGCGGTTTCGAAAATATATTATTCTGAGGGGGGGGGGGTTCACGAGAATATATTTTTGAAATTTGTTTTCGTTTCTATGTATTGCGCGCCCGTGCGAAATTCCGATTGGAACTCGGTCGGCTGTGCGGAATTTCCCGTGCGGCAGATCCGTCTGCGGGGTCGGCAAATTTTTTTTTTATGTTTATTTTTTTTCCGCCTTCGGATGGGTGTCCGGCCGTTTTCACGGGAAGCGCCGCGGTACCCGTCCGTTATGACGAGAACCGGTCCGGCGGTTCCCAAACTTTCCTCTCTCCCTGCCCCCCCCCCCACATGCCCCGCGGTTGGCCTTTTTTCCGCGCCGAATTCGGCCACGGTGCCGTCCCGCGCGAGGAATATACGTGAAAAACCAGAGGATAAGTCCCCCGTGGAAACAAACCGGTGTGCAAAACATGTTTGGCAAATCTCACGGGACGTAGATGGATAGATTTTGTTGTTGTTTCGTAACAATTACGATTTAACGAGAACAACAATAGTAAAAAAACGAAAAAAATTCGTCCCCGAAAGCCCGGGCTTGTTGGTGGGGGGTGTGGAGACAAGAGTTCGTGTTTCTTATAAAATTGTATCCACTTATCGTCACCGTTTACGAACATTCGGCAATCCCGTAGCAAATCCTGGCAGTCTACGGGAAAATAAAGGTATTAAGGAATCTCGCGTGCACGCGATTGATTAGCGATTTATCTTCTGTAAAAAAAAAAAAAAAAAACCACGCTAATTATTCTCGTCGGCAGTCGGTTTTCGCCATTTTACCGAACGTAACACAATATAAATCCATTCTGAGCAATGCGCAGAGGCGCCGGGTTTTGGAAATGTCGCGGCGAGTGGACGGGGGTGTCACTATTTTCAAAACACGCGCACCCGCAGTTTTACCCAAATCCCGCCGTACATATCTCATTTTTATTTTCCCCGAATTGTCCGTCTCGAACAATCACTAAAATTTAGTTTGTTTCGTATGTTATGGCATTTTTAATTGTATTCGAATTCGCGAGACGAATATTAATTAAAAAAAAAAAAAAAAACGCCACAGACACCGGTTAACCAAAAAACCAAAATCCACGCTGCCTATCTTCCTCGATTAATTTGTCGTAAACAAAATTAGTATTTCGAACACGTAAACACTACCACCGTTACGGATATTAAATATCTCTCTTTTTTTTTTTTATATATATTTATATATTTAAAAAATTACTATCTATACAAAATAGGTAACGTCAATAATTTACAGAGAAACGACATTAATAAAAGCGCGAAAAGGAAATCGCACATTTGCGACAGATCGTGATATTTTTAGACTATTAGTTCTTGGGTTTTCGGGTCCCGGCGCCAATTTCTTTTGAGGCGTCTGTTAGGGTTTCCAGGAAGTGTCAGTGAAGCTGACTCGCTGATTGGCCGGTTTGGAATATCTAGTAGTCGGCCGCGGAAGCGTTCGTAGTAGGTAGCAGCAGTTTCGTTTACGGAAGGGAATTCAGGGTCTCGTTTGAGACGAACCAAGGTGATTAGCCAGTGATTAGCCGCAGACAAATGTTTCGGAATGCTCGTACGGTACTCGTGTTTGGGTTCTCGGCAGAGCCCCAGATTACTATACCGTACGTCCATGCTGGTCGAAGAAGAGTTTTGTACAAGATGACTTTGATGGTTGTACGGTTAGGTCGGACCGAACGAGTGGCTTAAACATACGGGGTGTGGAGTTGAGTTTCTGGCGCTTCGCTTCGGGACGAAGAGACCGGGCCGAGCGCCCGTCAAAAGTATGACCGAGGTATTCGATTTCGTTCGGGTGAGGAGGAATGATGATGTGTTGTCGACGGACGCGGCCGGGCAGTTATGAGGTCTGAGCGAGAAGGCGACCGCGGAGGACTTTGAATCGTTGGTTTTGATTTTCCAGTTGGTGAACCGTCGTGAAAGAGTATTCAGGTGATTCGTGACGCAACGGTGCGCGGTCGGAAGGGGCTGGCAATTAAGCGGCACCATCAGCGTATGTTCCGACTATGGTATTTTCAGTGGTCGGGCAGGCCCGACGCATGCACGGCGTACAGGAATGAAGCCGTGTCACTGCTGTGGCGAACGTTAAACGAGCGATTTTCAAGACGGCATTTAAGCATTATGTGTAAAAGAGCTGGAAATGTATTTTTAAGTTTGAAGACGGGACCTACGCGTCAGACGGTGCCAGAAGGCTTTCGCGACGTCCGAAAAAACCGGGGTGCGGTATTTGTTTGGTGTCGATGTGCCGGCGAGATGGATGTCCGCGACCCGGCGAAGTTGACGGTGAGTTGTGACATGGATCCGAAGCGTAAGCCGAACTGAAAGTTCGGGATGCCGTTTTTTTGCTCGGGCTACAGTGGCGGTACGCTGGAGAACGATTTTTTTACGATAACCGGTGTTGAATATCTACAGTCCCGAAGATCACCCCCCCCTCCCTCTCCCCTCCCCCGGGGCGCGCGCCCCTATACGCGGCGCCCCCGCAGCGAGCGCACACCCCCGGACGTGATGACGGAATTTTTTTTTCTCCTGTGTTTTCCGCGAGATCCAATTCGTAATTCACGACAGTTCGCAACGGACGGTCCGTCAGATTTGGAAACCGCGCGATAACGCCAACGCCTCCCGGGGGGTTCCCGCAACAGTACGATTATTGTCGATTGCCATTTGCCGTTTGGACCGTTTGTACGGCTAGTCGGGACGGCGATTCGCCCCGAACGGAGATCGTCCAAGCAGAGCCGGTCGTTCGGCCGCCGGTTTCTTCCGCGCCGTCCGGTCAACGTGCGGCGGAGGCGCCGCGCGCGCGCGCGTTCGCTTGCCGGCCGTGTCTTTCCGTTACCGGTTCGGTTCACACGGATTCGTTGCTGATGGCACTCGGATTGTTTTTTTTTTTTTTGGCGCCGATTTTTTCCAACCGCCGGTCGTCAGTGGCCCGTCCGTCTCGCCGGGGTCGATCAATGCCGTCTCGTCGTCCCGCGGCGTTGCCGTGCCCGTGAATTATTCACGGATAGTAAAGAAACGGACAACCCCCAACCCAAACAATGCCGTCGACTCGCTTGCAGAGCCGACGTTCGCGGACGGGCGGTAAACCTGCGCGATTCGTCGCTGTAATAATATCGACGAAACGCCACGTTTTTATTGAAACAGTACACCAGTAGTATCCGTGCCACTTTTGAGGCCGATACGAACGGCTTGTTCGTATCGTTATATTATCTATGGAAACATTACCGTGGAATCGCCGAGCCACGTTATCGTTTCGATTCGATTCGGTTGCGATTCCGGCTATTATCGTATCCGTATTACAATGTCGCATAACAACCAGTGGCGCCGCAACCAGAACTTCCGACGCCCGTGGCGAAATGTTGTATCGAGGCCCCGAAAAGCCGAACCGATTAAAACGCGGGCCGTCGCGATTGTTGAGCATCCCTTAAAAAAAAATTCGCACGTTTACCGCGCGGTCGTAGCGTGAGACGTCATAATATCGTGCGATCAAAATCCTTATCGAGTGCGACCGGATCCGAACAAATAAATGTGTACGCACAGACGCGATGCCAAAGTACCTTGTCAGTTGTCATGTAATCTACATTTTCCAAGTATAGACAGACTATGCACATTTTATTCCGAAAAGTCTCATTCGAGTGTATCTCCTGTTTAATCATAGTCTCAGTACGTTAAACACTCGTATTTTAATGTAACACGAGCGTTTAAACGTGTATTAAGCGTGTTTTTTTAATAAACTGTACAATTAAATATTGTTTTGGATCCGAACAATTAAATTGTTACTGATAACAGTCTGATATGGAGTGCATGGCATACCCTATAAGCACTAACCGAACGTATTGCCTGCACGCGGTGTTATTTCCCTTCGGTGTAATCCAGTGGTGCGTAACCTGGGGGTAGCGACCCCTAATAACAATAATAATAATTTTAGCAGTTTGTTTTTATTTTAGATATTATAAAACTCTAATTTTGTGTTTTTTTTTTTTTTTAATGTTTTGGATTGATTAAATTAAAGAAACATTAAAATTGCCCAAAATTATCGATTTAATTCATTTTTATACAATTTTTCTATACATTAAGTAAGTATACATTATGCACTTACATAACTTCGGTAGGAAGAGGGAGCCGTATCATCAAAATAAATCATTTTGGGTGGGGGTCGTGGATCAAAAAGGTTGTGCACCACTGGTGTAATCCACCGCCGCCAACCACTCGGGGAGGCTAAAATTTTAGACAGACCCCTTCCCTCACAATCCCCTTTACACGATACTTTTAATAAGCGACTACGTGTTTTATTTACGATTTATATACAAAAATGTATAAGGTACCTGTGTAACTTTTAGATTTTGAAGTGAAACGAAGAATGTATTACAGTGTTTATTTATTTTTTTTTTTTTTTATGTGAACACTTTTTCTACTAGAAAGCACACTCCGATTATCAAGTACAGCGCATTTTCTGAAAGGAAATGTTCTCTGGGTGGTACTCTTTAATGAAGTCATTTTTTGGAATTCTCATTAATATTCGAGATAATGAAGGTTGGGTTAGGATAATGAAGGATGGGTCTTAAGATTGAAAAACATTGCAAGATCAAAAATAAGGTTGTGTAATTGGCAACCGTTTTTATTTATTTTTTTGTTATTATTGAGTTTTTAAAAAATCTTTTTTAAACAATTTTTGTTGTTATCATTGTTGTCACGGAAACGCACATTGTTGTATTCATTTTACCATAATATGACACATTATATATTGTTGACAAAGCAACACTATTAACTGAACTCCGCTCAGAATCGTTTTTTTCGCTGGCACTGATGGTTTATCGTTGCTTACAGATGGTATTCGTTAAACTCCCGTCTGTACCCTATCTTCCCAACTTCCCACCTACACAAAGTGGCTGCACACTCACGCGCGAAGTATGTCCATTTTTAACTTAATTTTTTGTACACGCGCGCATTGTCTGTATATTATTGGCAATTCGTATTTTGTTTTATCAACATAATTGTGAAATAATTATTTAATCTCTGTACTAGTGGTTTTTTTAACCTGTGCGTCGCGGTTTAGTATCAAGGAAGCCGCGTCTATATAGTAAACATTACAGTAGAGTTATAAATACGGCAAATTTATTATTTGTACGGAGCCGATAATTCTGATTTCGAAATCGGAAGAGCCGTCGAAAAGAGCCCGAAAAAGGTCGGAAACCGCCCCGGTCCATACTATATAAAACTACCGAATTCGAGAATTTGTTTTCGCCCCCCCTCCCGGGTATTAAAGACCTTCTAAAACTCTGCCACCTATTTTAGTCTCGTGTAACGATAACGGTCGGGAATCAGTAGCGGATCCAGAAGTCATCCGAGAGGAGGAAAGGGAACGAATTTTCATTTTTTTTTTCGGTTGAACGATTTCCGGCGATACGCAATCAGAACAATAAGAATCGTATAAAAATTAAAAACGAGTCTGAAATTTAAAAATGACCAATTATTATTTATTTAGAAATCACGGGACAAAGTAAATTTGTCTATTTTTGCGTAAAACATATTTTTATAAGTACTTTTCGTTAGTGATAATTTTAAAAAATACATGGGGGGGGGCGGTGGGGGTGATCGCCCCCCGCGCGGTTCCGCGATTGTCGGGAATCGACGACGCCGCCATTTCGATCGTCGCGCTTTTGTGTTTCCCGCCGGAAGTGCGTGTTTGCCCCTATCCGAGTACACCTGCCCGTATCCGTGTTCCGCGACGTACCCACGTCGTAGGTTACCTAGGTTACCGCAGGTACCTACTTAATAATATTATTATTCGTCTACGTTTCGCTTTTCAAAACGAATCTCGCTCCCCCCCCCCATCCATACCGTTAACGGTATTTCGTGCGATATTCTCGTCGATAAACGCGTCCTGAGATAAAGATCCGTTGATAATGTCGATAGACGATGGTAAAACGGAAAACGACAATGTCCGTTATTCGAATACTTCGTTCGCCGTACAGTGATGATAATATTATTTCACGAACATTTTAATATTATTGATGTACACTATCGAATAGTTACTATCGAACTATACGATATTTTTCCCGAATATATGTGTTCGGTCACAGGAAAATATATTCGAATGAAATATTCGATAGTTCGCCAAAACTATCGATAGTATAAACTATTTTGATAGTGTCCGTCAGCAAGGACCGGACAGTATCTACGATACGTATTAGTATACTGTCTTAAATACATTTGTATCTTTTGAAGTTAATATATTGTATGCAGTATCTTCATACCTTTTTGTGGTGTATCTTGTATCTTTCTTTTTTTTCTTTTTTTTTTGTAATGATTCTAGGTACAAACCATGATTCGTTTATTTGTTCATTCTAATGTTATTTACATAATAATCACATTACATTACAACTGTTACATTTTTGATATTATATTTTCAGGTATTAATATTTTGTTAAATAATAATAATATAATTTTTGATATTTTGTTTAATTAATAATAATAATAATAACAATAGAGGATTTTTTTTTCACAATATGTGTAATATGTTTTTAATTTTTTATATCATTAAAAGCAAGGTTAAAACCTGACATCATGGGCGAACATACTATAAGTTTTTTTTTTTTTATTATTATTAATGTACCTTATATCTTAGACACAGTATTTAGTATCTAGTATCTTGAGACTTTTGTTCAAGTATCTTGCCCATCCCTGCCCGTTGGTAATTATAATAGGCACAGTGTACCCGTGGTTGTAGTGTATATTATTCAACACGTATTAAATACTGTACTTATTATTTTTTTAGTGAAATGTTTTCTGATCTAAATGAACGGTAATACACAACGTACAAATATAATGCAGTACCTATACGCACATTTCAACTTTCACTCGTTGGTATAATATTATAAGCCGGCACATTCGTTTTTTTTTTTTTTTTCGGCCCGATGCTACCCGCTTAAAAATATAATTAATCGTACATTTATGTTTGTGTCGGTTGCGTAATTATTTTTAAATACGATTTTTTATGAAACAAAAAAAAAAAAATCAAAACAATGGTTATTATTGATAATTTATAATTATTATGTTCACAGTTTGATTAAATAATATTATATCACAGTATCAATAATTATTCTTACTTTTGAACAAAATCGAACGCGACAGAAAAATTAATAGGTAGTAATTTACATTTTCGTCGTTTTGAAAGCGAAAAATAAGAAATTTAATCGTATAACATGTTCAAATATTTTGATACCGCTATCTAGTGTTCAAAGTAATAACTATTCGATTTATACAATATTATTATACTCTCCTATATTATGCCCCATGTTTTATCGTGACCACCTCTCCCCGACTGTTTTTGCATTAATGTGTAACCTTATAGATTTTATACGGTAGGTACATAATATTATATTTTGAGTGACACAAATAGATAATTAGGTAGGAAAACTACCGACATTTATGAATCTAATATAAAAACAATATAATATTTACAATTAAAAATATAAGAATAAAAAATTACTTAAGTAACTAAAACGGTTTTAAATTTACTTGATATCTACTACCCATTGCTATTCATCTTTTTTATTCAGCAGTATAGCAATACATTTTTATGAGTGGTGTCACCGTTAAATGTTAATGTTATTATAATATTTATGTGAAAATGATATTTTTATATTGTTGGAATAAATAATTAATAAGAAAATATAGTTTAATTTTTAAAACAATATAAACAAGTTTTATTTTTATTATTTGCCTGACTTGATATGGGCATTTAACTAAATGTCCTGTCTCAATTAAAATTGTGTAAAAATTAAATTTTTTAACTATTTGCCTAGGCATTTAGTAAAATGCCCGATTTTAATATATGCCTATGACATATGCACATATATTTTGTTGAAATTTTAATTTTTTTTATGCTTACTCAATATATTTATTTATTTTTGAAGTCATAAATTATTTTATAGAATCTTAAAAAATTAAATTTCATCAATTATCTTTCTAAATATTTCAATTTTAACCTCTTTTCATAAGTATATATCCCTGTTTATAAAAAAAATTGGAAAAATATTTGTTTCATAATATTATGTTTATAATAAAGGTATTATAGACACTTGTAAAAAAAAAAAAATAATGCAAATTATACCTTATAAAACAATTGTCAACAATTTTGATAATATCAAGAATAATTTTGATACAAGTTCTCATTTCTAGACCTAGTTTGACTTCCCATTACTATAATACAATAGTAAAGATAGCATTGCATATTATTATATATTTTACATTATATTATGTAAAAAATGTTCAATATTTTTTGCTATGAAATTGACCTCGAATACCTCATACCTAGTATTTATACATTTTTTTATAACCTAAAAACTTGAAACCAATAACGTGTTAAAAAGGTGATTTTGAATTATTAAATATTTCTTAAATTTGTTTATCACACGGCAGGATATAACAAAGCCATCTATTGGATATTTGTTTACCAATTAGTATTAATCGAGACCCATTGGGCTTGGCACATAGACTGTTATTTTAGGTTTAACTCGATTTTTCATTTTTTGGTACTTAGCTCATTATTTATTTCAAATCTTCACCTGTAAACATTTCTGCACTACTATGTTAGTATTACACTAGTTGATATGATACATGAAGTATTTTTGTTAACTATTTTTTGTATTTGATTTATAGGTAGAAATAATTTTCTACTAATAAATGTGTATCTAGGCATACACCATATTTTACAATATTAGTACCTATATATTTTTGCTTATAAGTGCCATATTATAATCTATATTCATATTAATTTAATTATTTGTCTTTTCTGTTCTAGAATTTTGAATTGGAACCGGGAAGATGGAAGAACAGGAAACTATGAACAAAACATTGCCTCTAGCTAAAAAGCAGAAAATTAATGAAAATGAATATCGTTTAGTAGACTTAAACGTAGATACTATAAGTCTTAACTTAACGAAACATTGTCTATGCCAATTACCTGAAACATGTATGTTGAAAGAAGTCTTCAGGGTCAAAAACGTTAGTAGTTGGACTCGAGAACGGCTACTAAATTTTTTGAGTTCTGCTCGCTTAACCTGTGACATTGCTCTCAAACAATTATCTGAAGGCACTATATGTACTAGTGTTGAGCGCTTAAGTAATTACTTGATTGCTAATAAAACTGGTATTGTAAACGAAATTGTTTCTTTACTTACACGAACAGATCCTTACATATCATACGCAGCTAGTAATGCTTTGGCAGAAATTTTTGTGTGTTCACAAAATAAACTAGACAATGTTTGGGTGGTAGAGCTAACTGATTTATTTCTCCGCCGGTCACCAGAGACTTTATGTCCTGTTATAGCAGTCTTTAAACGCGTTTTATGTTGGAGAGATGCACAAATGATTGATTCAGAAAAAAATATCAAGATGCCTGAAAATTGTGTTAGTAGGAAGGTAATTTTTGAAGATGAAGAAATCGAGATGGATGACGAATTTGGAATTAGTTTAGTTAAAACCAAAGTTATTGAAGTCTTACAAACTCAGTGGCAAATGATCGTATTAAAATTTATTAGATACATGTCATCTTTTGATCATTGTACAGATTTGAATAATAGTGATGAACCATTCAATCATAAAATGGGTCATCTTGCCATAGTAGAATTTATCAAATTGTGGACTTCAATGGTTTCTATAAAAACTAATCTAAATGTTATGAACATAAAATACTTTTATGCAGACTTAGGACAAATGCTTATTCTTTTGAGGCGTCCAAAAGTTCAGCCTGTTGTTTGGAAGAATATAATAAACCTTTTTAACGAAAGTTTGTGTTACACGACTACTTTAGCTGTACAAGGCACAATGCAAGAGGAACCTTGTATGTTGGCTAGAGAATTGGTTAAAGTTGTAAAAACCAAAAATATGTTGAATAACATGCCATTCCGAAAAGGTTCTGGAGAATATGGCGGCGGAGAAGAAGATGATGGTGATAAAAAATTATTACAAGACACTGTTTTACTAATTTTGAAAGCAGTGGCAACCATCATTAAAGAAACGAGAAATGAATCTTCATCCAGCGATTCTTCAGCAGACGAATCCGAAGATTCTGAAGAGGTAGATGCGGAAATGGCAATAATTGAAAGTAGTGTTAATGATGTTTTACGGAAGTTGGACTCGTGTGTTAAGAAGTGTATGTCCTACCTTCCAGAAACTCCAATTGCCCAGTGGATTGTTCAGTTATTTTCTGATCGTAATGACATACTCATTGAAAGTATGATATGTACTATTGATATTTCACTGGTATTGTGCTATCGACGTAATTCAATACCAATGTTGCGACATGTGCTTAATCCCACTGCTAGTTTAGTTGAATTTTTACAAACATTATCTTATAATAATGATAATGTTAATGAATTGATATTAGATTTATTATTAGGTAGTGACACTAGTTTTTTGTTGTATATAATGCGAATATTAAAGTTTATAGGTAACAGATGGTCAGAGTTTTGTCTTTGTTGCGATACAAAGTTACAAAGCACTATGACCACTCTGAGTAACTTACAGACCAGTCTTGACCAACTCATTAAAAACGATTTAACACCATACAATCTCAATCCAGTGTTGCGATTGCTAGTTAAATGCAGTACATTGTATACTGGTGTAGAAGTAATAAATGTATAAATTTGTTTACATTATTTTATCTTAAATAGTACTTTACCAACTTGTAAAAATATTGTAAACATCGTGATTTTATTCAATTGTAAATTTACCTAGTAAAATGTGTCCAGTGTATACAAAATCAATCCCCCTCAAGCTCAAACAAATGTATAAACTTGTAAATTGTTGTAGTTAGATAATCAAATTAATCTGTGACCTCAATAAAACCAATAAAAATACAATATTGGAATGCTATTAGTTACCAATTTTGTATTTAAATAATATGTACATTTCATTTATGTTCAAATGGCATGTTATATATTAATAGAGCTTAATAAAAACTAGTGTCTTATTGTTACTAAAGTTTGTTATGTAATCAAATAATGCCTGTAGACTATTTATTTATTTATTTCAATATATTTGAATGGTTTTTGTTTATATATGTAATTAAATTCTAAATATATTATTTTTTTAATTAATTTCGGTTGTGAATAAAAAAAACACTTTGATGTATAGATGTATGTTAAGTATTTCAATGTAAATTAGAACTTCAATAATTAGTATTGTATAGAACAAAATTAATATAAACTCAAAGACTGATAAATAGAAACTATTAATAATATAAATTAGGTTCTATTAGAATAAGAATTTTAGCCAAGTTGCCATTGAAAAATAAAATTTATTAGTGTATTTATTTATAATTTTTAGTTAAATGTTTACTAATTTCATGATTACTTGTGCATTTACAATTTTCTTGTTTTTTTTTTTTTTTTTAATTAATTAATTGTGAATTATTTGAATTAATTTTTAGTTATCAAAACATTGTAATTAGTTTTATTGAATGTCTATTTATTAATCTTCTTTTAAATCTGTTTTATACTATTATACTTTTATTTTTTTTTTATTTTTCGTGTCTTCTTTATAACTTTATAATAATTGCATATCAATAATTATTAGTACATCTACCTATATTTTATATTTTAATTTGTATGCAATTATTTAAGTATTATACCAATGTGTGATAGTTAATATATTGAAATTGGTTTGTTTTATAAAGATTTAGAAAATTTACATCTAATTTACAAAATAACATTTGAAATATAAGCATTTTATTTTTATATAAAAATGAATATATAGATTTTTTTTCAATTTAATTTTTGGATGAACTACTATTTTTATTAGTGTTTTCTGGATCAAATATGTAAAATCTGTTATAGAATAAATAAACATTGTTACCAGTTTTCAATTTATAATTATACATAATATAAAAATATACCTATTTCAAATAAATATTACACAAAAAAAATTGTCTTAGTAATGCTAATATTATTAAACAAGTAATTGTCAATACAAAATATTTAATGAGATATATTGATTATACAAGTACCAAATAATATTTTAAAATTGGTATAATACTGAAATTTATTAGTAATGACTAATGTTTATAAGCATGAGTTATTATTGTATGTATTTTTAACAGACTATATTTTCATTCACCAACATGTATTTTTATATTATTTATTTATTCACGAACTATTTTCAAATTCTGTATTGTATTCTATACCTATATCAGTAAATATCTATGTTTTCATGAATTATTCATTGGTACCTATTAAAATTTAGGCCTTTAGTATATTATTAGAATTTTGTTGAACCAATTTGTGTAATCAAATAATGTAATTAATAGTGAATATTGTGTTTTATAATTACAATCAAAATATATATATTTTTTAGAAATCCTATGAGTTCTTTTGTTTTTGATTTTTTTTTTTTTTAATTGGCGTTGCACATGTTAATTATTATATTTTACTAAACTATGCAAATGTACTCATAATTCTTTTTTTTTTTCGGTGTTCCAACCCCAAAGTCTATAATTTTATCATACTTGTAATTAATTATAAGTACATAATATATCAAAGAATAGCTAATGAAATTTTAGAGGGTGTTCTTTCAATATAGTATTTTTTTAGTGTTTTGTAAAATTACTTAAATTAGGTACCTACATGGTATTGATTAAAAAACTATTTTATTATGGCTATGTGTAATCTAAATTTTCCAATAAAATATTTTTTTTTTTTTTTAATTCAACCAGTGAGTTACCAGTTGTACAATAATTAATGTACTTATTCATCTGTATACTATTTGAACATGTCTTTAGTTGAATAGTTGTTAAAAATGTACTTTTCTTATTGATTTCAAATAGGTAAATACCTACTTAAATGACTACAGGTTATTTTTCATATAAAGGTAGCCAGTCTTTTTTTTAATAGGTATCTTATTAAATTAATATATTATTAATTCAGTTTTTGACAAAAAAAAAATTTTTGATGTAATTTGAAAGGTAATATGATTTAATAACTATTTATGATTTGAAAAAAGTGTTTAAAAGTTAATTAAAAAACATTAAGTTATTTTAATCATAATAAGAGGAAGGTATATTTTACCTACATTTAACTGTTTTAAGTTTTGTTCAAATTAATTATTAAATTATAAAACCCATTAGAAAAAATAAAATATCATTAACTTTCTATTTAGGTAGTATAGATACTATTATAACTATATTTTATTGTGTAATACACCAATGTTTTTATTTCTTATAAGTATTGTATTTAATAAAATATATTAAAATCATTTTTTAGTTATATAATTTAATTATTTTTTTATGTAATGGGGATTTTATGGTTTCCTAATATTATAATCATCATTATTACAGGTATCACCGATAATCTGACCAATATAAATATATTTTTTCTAAATTAAGTTACAATTATTGTGTTAAAACTAATGAATTGTGATTTTCTAGATTCTTAGTAACTAAATAAAATTATTTATAAATTAATACCTATTAATCCACAAATGTAGGTAAAGAATAATATGTTTTGTCGTCTCCAATTTTGTAGAGTATTCTTGATATTAAGTGACATGAGCGATGACTGAAAGGATAAACAAAAATCCCTAATACCTTCCTGCCTACCTACTTATAATAATATAATAGATAATATCGAATGATTTTTTTTTTTTGTCATAAACCTGCAGCAATTAGGTACCTATCTCGAAGGATTTGTAAGTGAATTATGTTTTTTTTCCATAATGGAATCGTTTTAACTTTATTTTAATACCATATTTAATTTTTTACCTCTACTCCATATACCTTAAATAATTATATACTTTTATTTAGGAACCTAATATAGGAATCTCCCTTTTTGAACTCAGATTCGAATAGTTTATTTTTGTAGAAAATTTGATACATACAACACTAATATCAGATTTACGACTTATGAGTATAGTATAAGCGTATAACGATTTTAAGTATTAATTGGAAGAGTAGGGAAGAGTTATCAACATAGCCCCCGTACTTCAATTATAACAGAGGTAAAACGCAAAAATAGTATTTCGCTTTTGTGTATAAAAATTATTTGATTATTATTGTAGCATTTATAGTTAATGAGTTTTCACATGAAAACATTCATCAAAACACTTTATTGTCCAAATATGGCTAGAGATAAAGTACCACAATCATGACGTTATATGTACATAAATAATATCCATGTACAGTAGTTTAAATTTGCCCCGTGCTAAAATCTATTAGCGTTTTCCACATATCTGAAATATTGCACTTAGTGCGCATTGAATGTTTAAAACATGTTCCACCTCCAAAAATATTATCGTACTGGCCCAGTATTGTGTGTTCCATCTCAGAACATGGCACACAGTTTTTGCACTGAGTGCGGAACTGGCGCACTAGCTATGTGAGACGGTTTTTAGATTTCTATTGATAAGATACTATTAATAATACTCGGTAGTATACATTATTGCTTTAATATTTGGAGTGAATATTGTATGCTGTATAGTATAGATTATGAATTGTGAACAATATGGAAAATGTTCGTAAATTACAATTGGTTTTAGAGTTGTTGTCGTCATCAAGTATTAAATAACCAGTTTATGACAATTAAAATAGTATGAAGTGTGAATTTATTTTAGGGTTTTAGCAGCCATTGCCCATATGACCATAATCAATGTTGAATCCAGAATTTCATTTGCCCCCTCCCCCCTGACAAATACAATAACTATGAACAAAATGTATTTATTAAATTTACAGTAACCTACTAGTTACTCATTCCAATTTATATCGAAATGACCAATGAAAAAAAAGTGAGCCCTCCCCAGAGAAATTCTCTGAATTCAATACTGATAAGAAGCAATCAATAAATTGTTTTCAGTAGATTACGATATTTTGTGTTCCAACTATGTACTCATATGACAGCATAAACGCAAACAATCGCGAATTCAATGACTCAAATCGCCATGACTTAAAGCATGTATTTGTGAAATGGTAAATTGGTGAATATAGGAGGGAGCGGTGTGTGGGGGCTCGTCCCCGTGATTCTGTCTAATAACACTTAGGCGGTGGTGTTCAATCTCTAACATTTATGTTTGCCTCATAAAATTAAATAGTTCGCGCCGCCACTGTCAAAAATTATTCATAAACTATAAACATTGAATACTACGTAGGACGTAAATAGTATACATGGATAAATTGTATTTGTGTGACAACGTTTAGTATATCAAATGATTCGTTTAATTGGGTACACTCATTATCTCGGAAAGTATTAATTTTTTCCTGAAATTGTTTTCTAGAATATTTAAGAAACGAGCTGCTCTGCAATTTTATATTTATGTTATTTTTTGTCAGTTTGTGACCCTTATTTTTTGGGGTAAAACCACTACCTAATTTTGATTTTCAAATGGCAACCTATATTAAAAAGTCTATAAATTGATGGGACATTAGTCAAAATAAATTTAAGCGACATTTTTGATTTCTGTCAAGCCGTTTACGATATATTACAGTTTTATGTTTGGGTTGGAGGAGAGCAACGGTTAGGTTAGGTGCATTATATACGCGCCGTACCGCCACCCAAATGGTATTAATGACACAAATTAGATTATACTCGTACTATCGATTAAATAATATCTTGGTCCATGATACTTACTATTTCCTTTGTTTACGTCTTCATTATGCATTTGCCAATTATCATTCATTGATGACACTACCGTATTCCAAGAATTTTCCTTTTCATCCCTCTTTGAATACATAGGCAAATCATTAAATATGCATTAGCAAGATTCTATTTTAGTGATAAACTTTTCAGTATCAAATATTGCACTCATTGTAGATTTATAGAATACCTATTGTGCCTAACCACGCGGTGTTATGGTTATAGTGTGACACGGTATATTTCCACGTCGACGACTCCCATTTTGCCGACATTTTCTTACTTATGTCATGCGTTGCTTAAAGTACATCTACTCATAACTCCGTTCAACTATAGCTCATGTTAAAACAACTTGTATTCGTTGTCGTTTTTAAGATAGTTGCACTAGTTTTATTAAATTGTCACTCTACTAAATTTAAATTAACGTTTTTTATATCCACAGAATTTTTCATAATAATTAGGAAAAACCAAAAAAGACGAAATATACGATTTTTTCAAATAACAACACGATTTCATTATTTTAATTTTGTACGACTTATATTTTCTATCATAAATATTACCATAATCTATTTCATGAGTAAGTTATTCGTTTTTTGATTTTCTCTGTAGTTTTATTAATAATTTTAAAAAAAAACCGAAAAAACACGTACAGTTAAATTAAATAATCAAATTAAATAATTAAACAACCAATTCAGTTTTACGGCGCGGTGTTACGATTTCAATTTTTACGGCTTATGTTTTTTGTTATAAATATCGCCTCAATTAAAAAGCATTAAATGATATATTTTCTAGATTAAATAAAATAGTTATTGAATTTGTGATCTTGTTGATGAATAAGAAATTCGTTTTTTGATTTTCTTTGTAGTTTTTTGTTCAATTAGAACAAAACTAAAACAAAATGCAGAAAGAACGGGGAAATGTATAGAAGTAATAAGTCTTTTATTATTTTCAATTTTGTTTTTTTTATGTGCTTTAGTTTAATATATTCTTAAAGACTTGAAATTTTGATAGAAAACTTATAATTGGTTTTTCTAGACGTAGTCAAATTTTCAAAATATTTGATCCATTTTTTGAGCTAATTATAGACATTTAAATTTTGCGAAATTTTCTATGTAATTTTAATTTGGTAGATACTTTGTAGATAAAATTGTTAGACTAAATTGAAATGTTTGAAAATTTAACAGGAGGTTCCTTAAATATCATACTTTGTGGTCTAAAAAAAAAAAGAAATTGAGCTTTATGTAGTATTTTTTTACAGAGGAATTTTAATATAAAATATTGACAAAAATCGTTTGAGTAATCCGTTGTCCGTTATTATATATTATATATGTCAACGCAAATAATCCATAATTTGTTTTTAAAATTAAAATAAATTCAATTTTTGCCATTAACCCGAATGCGTTCGTTTTTTTGGTTCGCCTAGCGTCTTTTCGACACAAATCAATACTGCTTCGTTATTTCGGCTAGCGGACTGGACTAGAAAATAGCGTGATCGTGCCGAAATTGATGCATCGCGTAAGTCTATCGCCGGCCACTACGTGTCGGGATGTTGGCTGCCCAAATCATCCAATTGTGTCACCTCACGAGATCGGATTCTAGCCAACAATGCCTCACTAACAAACCGGGTCGTGCCATTTTTTAGAATAGTTTAGATATAATTTAGGTATAAGTTCAAATTAAAAGGTTCGTGTCAGATCATGTGATTCCCTGCTGATCAGTCCATTCTCATTTATCGATCTCCCTTCCTTCGGAACTATCTTCATTGTATTTTTAATTT